CCAAATACCGGAAAGATAATCCATAATGTAAGGATATCAGGTAAGTGTAACAAGTAATATTAATAAAATGCTCCGCAGGGCGCAGCTTGATACGACCGCAGAGGTCGAACCCTGAACAGTTGGGGCAAGTATGGACACAACATTCAAGCTTGATACAGCTCTGAATTTGGATTGTGATTAAATATTTGACACAGCATAGGTTTCTGACACAGAATGAATGTGGTCTAAGAACTTAAAAATTTTAAATTGGACATTCACCTATTATGGTCCAATATCCAAAATCTAAATACATGGTTAGATTCAGCATATCAAAGAACCCCAAGAATTCAATTTTTGATGAAATCAAACAAAGTTTAATTTTGGACCCCGATTTGGACCAACTTGAAAACTGGGCCCATAATCAAAAATCTAAATACATGTTTAGATTCAGCATATCAAAGAACCCTAAAAATTCAATTTTTGTTAAAATCAAACTAAGTTTAATTTTGGACCCTTTGGACCTTAATGTAGACCAATTTGAAAACGGAACCAAAAATTAATAATTTAAATACACGGTTAGATTCGGCATATCAAAGAACCCCAATAATTCAATTTTTGATGAAATCAAACAAAGTTAAATTTTGGACCCTTTTGACCTCAATGTGGACAAAGTTGATAACGGGGCCCAAAAATCAAAAATCTAAATACATGGTTAGATTCAGCATATCAAAGAACCCCATATATTCAATTTTTGTTGAAATCAAACAAAGTTTAATTTTGGACCCCGATTTGGACCAACTTGAAAACTGGGCCCATAATCAAAAATCTAAATACATGTTTAGATTCAGCATATCAAAGAACCCTAAAAATTCATTTTTTGTTAAAATCAAACAAGTTTAATTTTGGACCCTTTGGACCTTAATGTAGACCAATTTGAAAACGGAACCAAAAATTAAGAATCTAAATACACGGTTAGATTCAGCATATCAAAGAACCCCAATAATTCAATTTTTGATGAAATCAAACAAAGTTAAATTTTGGACCCTTTGGACCTCAATGTGGACCAATTTAAAAACGGGGCCCAAAATCCAAAAACTTAATACACGGTTAGATTCAGCATATTAAAGAACCCCAAGAATTCAAGAATAAAACCCCATTGAAATTGATCAAGAAATAAGCAATTTATACGAAGTATCTTCTTTTGCACAATACTGTGCAATTGAATATTTCTTGCTATTGCGCAATACTGTACAATTGACAATTTCTTGCTATTGCGCAATATTGTGCTATTGGATATTTCTTGCTATTGCGCAATACTGTGCAATTGAAGATTTCTTGCTATTGCGCAATACTGTGCAATTGAAGATTTCTTGCTATTGTGCAATACTGTGCAATTGAAAATTTCTTGCTATTGCACAATACTTATTAGATAATAATTTACACATCCTGTTTGGTGTGTATCTCCTACCATATCATTATTATTTGCTTTTAAATATTAATCAGAAATAACCAACTTAAAATGGAAAATTTTAAAAGAAAAAAAAAAGGAAAAAAAGAAAAAAAAAAAGAAAAAAAAAAAATCCCCCCCAAATTTTTTGAACCCCCTTATGATTCATCACCCCCAAACTCAATCCCAGCCTTCCCTTTGTGGTATGGTGCCTTGCAGTACAATTTCAGAGAGATCCATACACTTGAACACAAGTTATTGTCTGGAAACTAGAAAAATGCTTATTTTTGGCCCCTTTTTGGCCCCCAATTCCTAAACGTTTCAAGCAATTACCCCCAAACTCAATTCCAGCTTTCCCTTTGTGATATGGAACCTTGTAGTACAATTTCAGAAATATCCAAACACTAACACACAAGTTATTGTCATGAAACTAAAAAAATGCTTGTTTTTGGCCCCTTTTTTGGCCCCTAATTCCTAAAATTTTGAGGCAATTACCCCCAAAATCAACTACATTCTTTCCTTTGTGATATGGAACCTTGTGGTACAATGTCAGAGAGATCCATACACTTACACACAAGTTATTGTCTGGAAGTTACAAAAATGCTTATTTTTGGCCCCTTTTTGGCCCCTAATTCCTTAACTGTTGGTACCATAACCCCCAAAATCAATCCCAACCTTCCTTTCGTGGTATTGAACCTTATGGTAAAATTTCATGGAGATCCATTCACTTAAACTAAAGTTAGAGTGCGAAAACCAATGTGTCTTCGGACGACGCCGGACGACGCCAGACGACGACGACGACGACGCCAAGGTCATACCAATATACGACCAAAAAATTTTTAATTTTTGCGGTCGTATAAAAATGTTATTTTATATCGTATAACTTTATTGATTGAAAAATTATCTTGTCTAAATACGGAACTATTCTTTATACAATCAATGCACTTTATATAAAAGAGGCATACACTTTATATAAAAGAGGCATACTAATGAATCTTCTGTAAATCAGTGATTGTTACAAGAACACTGCATTTGTCTTTCTTATAATTGAAACTGTTCTTCCTCATCAAATCCATATTTTTTTTATTCAACGAGATCTTATCATATAAGGATTTGATAACTATAGCTATCAGAACTACTAGGTTATTTTGTTATTAAAAAAGGATAATTACCATCGAATCTCCCTCGAAACAATATTGTTCAAAATGGTCTTCACACACCAACTTGTGCTTGCTATAGATGCAACTATTTGCTGTTAGTTTAAGGTTGTACAACCATGTCTGATACAATTCCTTCTTTTTTTTGTGTGATTGGGAAAACTATGTAGACTTTTGTCATAACCTTGTCTGACAGAATAACCGTACGCTTGACAAGACATTTTGACACTGAATAACAGTCTACGGTAATCCCCAATTGATGATGGGAGTTTTTAACGCACGGTCGGTAAATCCCCGATTCTTTTTGTTCTTTGTGGTTTATAGATATCACATGACTTTTTAGATCGAACATGCCGACAAGACGGCGATATGTCGAGAACTGATAGTGAATTTCAAAAATCGATTTTGATCTCTTTTACATAGAGAATAAAAGTTTTTTATTTATGAACATGTGGTTTTTTATGCTTAAAGAACAAAATATCAATTTTTCATTTTTTTGCGGAGTTTCCCTTTAACATTTTGTTTTTGGGGAACAAACTTTCATTTATTTCTTTGATCACTCGACCCAGGAAATTTAGTACCCAATGAAATATATATATATTTTCCAAATATAATTTAAAAGGAACTTTAAAAAAAAAAATCCATCAAACCAAGGAATTTAATTTAAAGAACAGCATTCCAGCAAAAATATTCTATCTATCTGAGGGCAAGAACTATATATCATTTTTTGCTCTTTTACTTAAAACAAGAGTGCACACGCTGAAATGTCTCGCCTTCTTTACTAACCATTGATTTTATGTTGATAGTCCTAAATACAAAGCTTTACTACAAGTAACACATAAACTTAAAATGATCCAAGAAAATGAGGTCAAGGTCAGATAAACCAAACGAGAAATACATGTACACCTTACAATCATTCAATAAACCAAACATAGTTGACCTATTGCTTATTGTTTCTAAGAAACAGTCTTAAACAAGAAAACTTAACTTTGACCAATGAACCATGAAAATGAGGTCAAGGTCAGATGAACCATGCCAGACAGACATGTACACCTTACAATCAATTTAGGCATTAAATATAGTTGATCTATTGCTCATAGTATCTAAGAAACAAACTTAACCATGAAAACTTAACATTGACCAATGAACCATGAAAATGAGGTCAAGGTCAGATGATACCTGCCAGACAGACATATACACCTTACAATCCTTCCATACATCAAATATAGTTGATCTATTGCTTATAGTTGAAGAAAAACAGACCTAACACTGAGAAATGAACCGTGAAAATGAGGTCAAGGTCAAATAAAACCTGCGAGACTGACATGTAAATCATAAAATATTTCCATACACCATTTATAGTTGATCTATTGCATATAGTATAAGAAAAAAAGACCAAAACTCAAAAACTGAACCATGAAAATGAGGTCAAGGTCAGATGACACCTACCAGTTGGACATGTACACCTTACAATCATTCCATATACCAAATATAGTAGACCTACTGCTTATAGTATCTGATATATGGACTTGACCACGAAAACTTAACCTTGTTCACTGATCCATGAAATGAGGTCGAGGTCAAATGAAAATTGTCTGACGGGCATGAGGACCTTGCAAGGTACGCACATACTAAATATAGTTATCCTATTACTCATAATAAGAAAGAAATTAACATTACAAAAAATGTTGACTTTTTTTTCAAGTAGTCACTGAACCATGAATATGAGGTCAAGGACATTAGATATATAACAGACGGAAACTTTGTAACATAAAACATCTATATACAAAGTATGAAGCATCCAGGTCTTCTAGCTTCTAAAATATAAAGCTTTTAAGAAGTTAGCTAACGCCGCCGCCGTCGTCACCGGATCACTATCCCTATGTCGAGCTTTCTGCGACAAAAGTCGCAGGCTCGACAAAAATCTGACAAGAAATATATGTGTGAGCACTTACAATGCAATTTTCCATATAATTTCTTTTTCTGTGGGCATAACTACCAAAAACTAGTTGATCAGCAATGATAATTGAACTTTCTACCATAAACCCTGATATAAGTTTCATAACAATACAACAAGAATTTTAGGCATGATAGCAGTTACAATGCAATTTTCCATATAATTTACATTTTGTTGATTGACACTGATTTTGAAATTGACCATCTCCATAGTTTTCATGACTGATCCAATGATGAGGTATCTTCAACGTGAGAATAAACTGTTACTGAGTCATAGAGTCTAAACACAGCATTGATTTAAAATTTCTATTAAATTTATCAAATGTTTCTGAAACTGATACAGTTCATAATTTTCAAGTGGCAATATATTCATATGCTGTACTGAGCTGTAGTGCCATAGATTATTAATCTGTCCAAAACTATTTATAAGAAAGCTATGCCATTTATTCAGGGACAAGTACCTGTTTTATGAAACTTAAGTGCTGCTCCCATTATATCCATGAAACTTTTGACTTCCCCATCCTCTCCTACAACTGTAAAATATACTTCATTCATATCACATTATATAATGTGTCATATATAATATAATTTCTAACATGGGTTTTCGAGGCAAACTCACTGTTATTTCATTGAAAAACTACAAGTAAAGTTTTATCAAATCCAGTTATTAAAAATTTCATCTTTGGTTCAATCAATTTTAAGAAAGTTGTCAAGAAGTGTAATTGTTGCAAGAAGATGTTAGGTTCCTAGGGTGTTTGGTTTATTAAAGGTTTTTTAAACCAAAAAATTTTTTTTTTTAAATTTCCCAATTATCAAATCATTTGTTAATTGGGAAATTTATCTCTGAAAAGTACTTTTCAATCTCAAAAACTTACAACTCTCTGTTGGCTTTGATCCTTCATCTTTCAATGATTTACTAGATTCTGTTGATTTCAATGATTTACTTGATTCAGATCCTTTCATGCCAGTCTGCTACAAAAAGAATACTTACATGTATTCTAAGACAACACTGTTGCATAGTAAATTATTTGAACCAAAAAAGTTCACTTGCCACATCATAAATTATTTCAGTCAAACTGTTTGGTCATCATAAGCCAAAAGTTGTCTTTTTGTTCCTTATGTCAAATACCAAGATATGTGTTTACATTTTGAAATTATATTAATTAATCATGAGAATGGTTGCAACTCATTCAAAATCACAATTGAAACCTTCATCGAAATAAGAAGACCATCCAACTAAAAATAAAGACACTAGAATGACGACAAGACAGTGGTAGCAGTTCAACTCACAAAGGGGTAAAAACATTATACCTACGCAACAAATCATCATAATACCATACAATATTTGTTTAATGTTGTCTCCTATGTCTATTTACTGCCTTGGTGGCCTCAGATTCTCTTCAACTGTGGGAAGTTATAACTTCAATATTGGGATCAATCCCTGGTTGAGTCAAAATATGACCTGGCCTTTTGGTCATTTTACTTTACTCAGTACCCAAAGCACAAAATTTGTGTGTGAAAAACCTGATCAAGTATTTTGATTGGTTGTTTCTGAGTCAATCGTACTTGAAAGTTTTATGACTGTAAGCCCTTAACATTGGTATTTGTTGCTTCATTTAGTAGTGACTTTTTGCAAATTGTTATATTTTTCTATGGATGTTAAAAGGATTATCCATCCATTCATGGTCTATAAATTGCTATTTAGGATTTCATGAAACTTGATGCTATTGTACAAAAACTGATTCTCACAAGGCACATTATGTGATTTAGCTAGATATCTAGTTTTTCCTTAAATGAATTAAACTTATGAAACAGGAAATACTTAAAAGGAATTATAATTGACTATTAGAAGCATGTATTGCATTACCTTTTGTTTTACTGGTTTAGCTAGGTCAGCTTCAGTCTTTGGACCAAGAAGGTCAAGAATCTATAACAAATATTTTGGATATAGTTAATATTTGATTTCAGATATTTTGCTTTGACTGTGGAAATCACTGAAATCTCCTTAGAAATTATAGTTTAAGATACTACTATTCTTTCAGTTTATCTACCTCTGGATAATATATTTTGTTTACTTGTATAATTAACTTTGGGAATCATGTTGGTTATGACAGTTTTATATCACAGGTTTGCCAGGGATCTGTACAATTATTCATGGCTGGGGAACAAATTGATGTTATATCATTTCCTCATGTTTGAAAATTATACTATAGGCAAATTACTAAAAACTAGCTGTACCATGAGCAAAGCTCAACAAACTATTTGCAAGTAAGAAAAGGCAGAAATAAGAGGTGCACTATGCTATTTAAGGTAAGGTTTGCATGATACCTGGATTTTTTTCTTAGTGATATTATACCAATATGATACATCATTTTGTTCAGGGAGGAGTGCCCAATCATTTAATGAAAAAAAATCGAAAATCGCCCGTCCCGTTTTTTCAAGTGAAAAGCTCAAAATTGCAATTTTTGACGTTTTTTAGGGAAAATTGTATTTAAATTCTTCTGAAATAATAATATATGCAAGTGACTATAAAAAAATAAAACTGAATAAAACATGTATAAATAATTGTGGTCCATTCATTAATGATAAATTTTAATTCAAAAGTTCTTAAAAAAGTTCCTAAAAGATTTGGAGTCTTTGACCAAACAAACAAACTACATGCTCCTACACATGATGAGGGGCCTGATGGGTTATTTTCGTTCTTCGTGATCGGCGCATTTTCGCTATCGTGATCCGTTTTTCTACAGATTTATTTTTTTTATATTTTCGTGATCCGTGATCATGGAAATTTATTTTCTGTGAATCGTGATTGACAAAAAAATCATCTCGTGAATCGTGATGAGACCCCCCCCCAGTTTTACTGTCGATGCGTAGCGGAGACCGTAAAACAGAAATTTGCGACTGTCAAATCAAAATTGATTGCGGTTACTCTTCAACCACAGTAATGTTATTCCGATTCTAATGCGTTACAAAAAGAAATAATACGTTAGAGCTTGAAATAAATGGGGTATGTGTCCATGGGACACTGATGATGCCCCCTCTTGCATAAACATAAAACATTATAAAGCATTACGTATAAATTTTATAACATTTGGTTGAAGCAAACTAGAGGTTTCGAACAGAGACGAAAAATTCAGAAATCGACCTCATAAAAATACCCCGAGCTTCATTTTGAGCTCTTATATACGGAGAAAGACTAAAAACTAACAATTTCCCAGATTTTATAGTGAGTCCGTGCATGTGTAGAGACACATGTTACCATCCTTGCTTTTAGATAAATTGCTTCAAAGTTGACTGATATGCATAGAAGTTTGTTTGATAAGAGGTTGTAAAATGTCCGGTGGCAAATAGTTCAGGCATGTTAAGGACGACACAATACTATAGTTGTGTCTGAAAGACACATTTTTAATGCATCCATAAAAAAAAAGAATAAACCACACTTCTATCTTATGAAAGGAGCTTCCCATACATTAGTTTTTAAGGTTTTACGGCGGGAGACAAGAGAAGGGACATGGGAGAAAGGAAAAAGGTACCCCTGTCCGACCTGACGACATCAAAATTCAAACATGTTCTGTGTTTTTGTGGTAATAAGCATTGTGCATAAGTTTCATATCATTCATATCAGTTGGTTGAGGCAAACAAAAGTTAGAGAACGGAAACCAATTTTGTAAAAACGGACGTACACTATGATACTTACATTCGGATGGACGTTCAAACAGACAAGAATAAAACTCAATGCCCGCTTTGCTATGGCGGGGGCATAAAAATGTACATTTATGAAATAAAATAAAATTCTGCGAAACTTCATGAATGGTTTTTGCACAAAGACGTTATGGCTAAACGTGACGTCATATAAATGAAAACTAACAAACTGAAGGTCATAACGTTACTTCTACGATTCAAATTTTGATCAAATCACATCAAAACGCCAATTTTGAGGTAGGTGTTGTTTTATTTTCGGTAAGATTGTAGTAATCGAACATTGGTTGATCAAAGCAATTTAAAATGGCGGGTCCCTCCATTTTTTAATTATTTTAATTTGAGTTATCTCCCTGTGTACGCAAACCTTACCTTAATGCAACTTAATAGTTTTTCATTTAAATTTATAAAGGCCAAATTAGAAGCAGTTGAACATGGGACACAGTCAAATGGTAAATTAAAGACAAATGAACAGATACCATCTTCACTATAAAACCACTTATTGCTAATCAGTGTGTCGTTATCTTATTTGCCTCTTTTTCTAATCACATATATTAATCAACTAAAAATTTGGATGAAGTGGCCCCCTTCTGCCATAAACCATTATTATTGCTGCATTCGAGTAATTAGAGAGTAATGCTTTGCTACCATGCTTCAATTAATTTCACCAGAGCTTTAAAACTGACAATAGAAAAAAGACAAGTACCTGCATATCTACTTCATTCTTGATAATTTTACCATCAGCAAACTTTAGCTTGTTTCTTGCCTCACCTATTGGAATTTAACATACAAGTTCATTTTTTTCAAGAAATTTATTGAACCTTGAAATAGTTAAATATGGAAAACATGCAGATAAACAAATGACATCCAAACAATGGCTATATATCAACAAAATACTCAACCTTCTAGTGTGCATCTTACTTATGGTACCTTTAATAAGTGTGTTTAAATAAAGTGATTTATTATACCTCACTCAATGCATAATCTGATATGAAAGGTTGATCTTATATACATTTATCATTACTACCATGACTACCAGTGTTAAAGTTTTAAAAATAAACTCCACTCCTTTTATCCTTTGTCTATTTCTTTAAATTTATAACATATATTTGATTTTTGATCAACATGATATATTCTTATGTGTATTTCATTATGACTACCTACTTACAATTACAAGTGTATTTTAATATGACTACCTACTCATGATTAAGCCTGTGTTAAACCTGTATCTCTTTTCTATCAAGTCATCTTTGTATTTCTGTACTACTTCTTCTACCTAAATGGAAGACATTGAATATACAGACAGTCTATTAAAGTGAAAATGAATACAATAATACCACTGCTACAAAAAGTATCAGTGTCATGTTTGTTTATGCTTTTATATTTTGTGGTATAAGTATGCACTTTTTTTTATTTATTTTAAGATTCTGAAATCCATAAATTATTGTTTGTGATGACAAGATAACAAAATATCCAGATACCACCCTCTTGTGATAAGATATCTATATACCATCCTCTTGTAATACAATATCTATATTGAGTCAAAACTGTATTAAGAAGTGACTCATGGGAAGTATCAGCAGTGACCGTTCAGGAGAGTTGACCTTTTAAACCAGGTTCCGAAAAAATATTCGGATTTCGACATTGAAAGTCTTAAAGATGAAGGTTTTACTATAAGTATCACATAAACTTAACATTTTTAAAGATCCATGACAATGAGGTCAAGGTCAGATAAATCCTGATAGACAGACATGTTCACCTTACAATTATCCCATACACCAAATATAGCTGACCTATTGCTTATACATGTACAATGTAATTGAAAAACAGACCAAATGACAAAAACATAACATCGACCCATGAACCGTGAAAATGAGGTCAAGGTCAGATTATACCTACCAGACAGACATGTACACCTTATAATCATTTCATACATCAAATATAGTTGACCTACTACTTGTAGTATTTTAAAAACAGATCAAAACACAATAAAATGCTCCGCAGGGCGCAGCTTGATACGACCGCAGAGGTCGAACACTGAACAGTTGGGCAAGTATGGACACAACATTCAAGCTTGATACAGCTTTGCATTTGGATTGTGATTAAATATTTGACACAGCATAGGTTTCTGACACAGAATGAATGTCACTGTCCCCGCCTGCCCTAAATAGAAGGGCGGCCCGCCCTTGGTGCCCTTACCCCCGCCCTTCTGCCCTCCAAAGTAAAAGAATGCACCCCTCTGCCTTTTCAAAAAAATAAAATTTCAAAATTTCATGCCTACCAGCGTTTCCGGTAAAACTGTTACCTGATTCAGTGATTGTGTAACACTAATTAACTGACAATGGGATTAAGTTAAATACCTAGTGCTTTGGCAGTTTTATCACCTTTGTTAATGATTGTTTACTGCTAATTAGTGGATTTAAGATAATTGAACAAATACTAGATATTTAATACAGAATGAAATGTCCACATGTTATCCATTTGTAATGTTTATGTACAGCATGTACACCTGAAAAAATTTATTTCAGTAGGCATAACATAAAAAATAAAATCTTAAACAATTTTAAAGGCATACATAGTTTTGACTTAATTGGTAAAAAATGTTTTGTTTCATAACCATGAGTATGAATTCGAAATTTAAAGAGGAATCAAAGAAATTTGTACTTTGAACATAACAAGATTCACTTCCTGTTTTTAATACTTCTTTTATTTTATAATCCTCCTGACATAAGAGCACTCAACAAATTTATTTTTAACAATGATGGAGAAAAAAGTAACTGTTTATACCTTCTGCAATATATTATTGCATCAATATAAAATATGATCATCTCCTGTCTCACCAGTTATATTTATAAAACTCCTTACTGAGGAGCACTTTGGTGTGCACTTAAAAATACTTTTTTGTAACAATTCAAATGATAATAAATAACTCTCAATAACATATATACTATATGTTTGAACAAGTTATTTAAATGTAGATAATTTAATTATATTCAACATTCAATTTTGCATGTATAACTCCATCTTTCAAAACAACTTGTTTATTTTGGTATAAGTTATAAAACATTGAAATTTCTGATGATTATTTTCCATACCAAATGTACAAGTTTGTTTAGATTAACATCAAAATGATATGCTTTGCTTCATGGTATGATAATTTATTGAAAAAAATTCTTACTGGAACCAACATCAAGAACACATTATTAATTTCTGAATATGGTTTAAATACAACTAATGTTCTCCAGCTGAGCCTATCCATATTCAAGTTAATTTATACACTGTCCAACATTGCCCTTAAAATCTGGGTTATAACGCTAAAGTGCCCTTTCAGACAACTAGCACCCTTCTGCCCTGAGATTCAAGCTGGAACACTGAATGTGGTCTAAGAACTTAAAAATTTTAAATTGGACATTCACCTATTATGGTCCAATATCCAAAATCTAAATAATTTTGGACCCTTTTGACCTCAATGTGGACAAAGTTGATAACGGGGCCCAAAAATTAAAAATCTAAATACATGGTTAGATTCAGCATATCAAAGAACCCTAGGAATTCAATTTTTGTTAAAATCAAACTAAGTTTAATTTTGGACCCTTTGGACCTTAATGTAGACCAATTTGAAAAGGGAACCAAAAATTAAGAATCTAAATACACGGTTAGATTCGGCATATCAAAGAACCCCAATAATTCAATTTTTGATGAAATCAAACAAAGTTTAATTTTGGACCCTTTGGACCTCAATGTGGACCTATTTAAAAACAGGGCCCAAAATCCAAAAACTAAAAACACGGTTAGATTCAGCATATTAAAGAACCCCAAGAATTCAAGAATAAAACCCCATTGAAATTGGTCAAGAAATAAGCAATTTAAACAAAGTATCTTCTTTTGCACAATACTGTGCAATTAAATATTTCTTGCTATTGCGCAATACTGTACAATTGACAATTTCTTGCTATTGCGCAATATTGTGCTATTGGATATTTCTTGCTATTGCGCAATACTGTGCAATTGAAGATTTCTTGCTATTGCGCAACACTGTGCAATTGAAGATTTCTTGCTATTGTGCAATACTGTGCAATTGAAAATTTCTTGCTATTGCACAATACTTATTATATAATAATTTACACATCCTTTTTGGTGTGTATCTCCTACCATATCATTATTATTTGCTTTTAAATATAAATCAGAAATAACCAACTTAAAATGGAAAATTTTAAAAGAAAAAAAAAAGGAAAAAAAGAAAAAAAAGGAAAAAAAAAAAATCCCCCCCCAAATTTTTTGAACCCCCTTATGATTCATCACCCCCAAACTCAATCCCAGCCTTCCCTTTGTGGTATGGTACCTTGCAGTACAATTTCAGAGAGATCCATACACTTGAAGACAAGTTATTGTCTGGAAACTAGAAAATTTGTTTTTTGGCCCCTTTTTGGCCCCAAATTCCTTAACGTTTAGGGAAATTACCCCCAAACTCAAACCCAGCTTTCCCTTTGTGATATGGAACCTTGTAGTACAATTTCAGAAAGATCCATACACTTACACACAAGTTATTGTCCTGAAACTAGAAAAATGCTTGTTTTTTGCCCCTTTTTGGCCCCTAATTCCTAAAATATTGAGGCAATTACCCCCAAACTCAATTCCAGCTTTCCCTTTGTGATATGGAACCTTGTAGTACAATTTCAGAAAGATCCATACACTTACACACAAGTTATTGTCATGAAACTAGAAAAATGCTTGTTTTTTGCCCCTTTTTTGGCCCCTAATTCCTTAAATTTTGAGGCAATTACCCCCAAAATCAATCCCAGCATTCCTTTTGTGATATGGAACCTTGTGGTACAATGTCAGAGAGATCCATACGCTAACACACAAGTTATGTCTTGAAGTTACAAAAATGCTTATTTTTGGCCCCTTTTTGGCCCCTAATTCCTTTACTGTTGGTACCATAACCCCCAAAATCAATCCCAACCTTCCTTTTGTGGTATTGAACCTTGTGGTAAAATTTCATAGAGATCCATACACTTAAACTAAAGTTAGAGTGCGAAAACCAATGTGTCTTTGGACGACGCAGGACAACGCCTGACGACGACGACGACTCCAATGTCATACCAATATACAACCACAAAAATTTTTTTGCGGTCGTATAAAAACTTAACATTGACCCATGAACCATGAAAATGAGTTTAAGGTCAGATTATACCTGCCAGACTGACATGTACCCCTTACAATCATTCCATACAACACATATAGTTGACCTACTGCTTATAGTATCTGAGAAACAGACCTAATCACATAAATTTAACCTTAATCACTGATCCATATAAGGTCAAAGTCAGGTGAACTCTGTCTGACAGACATGTAGACTTTGCAAGACGTTGCAAGAAACCCATATATGGAATATAGTTATCCTATTACTAATAATAAGTGAAATTCACATGACAACAATTTTAATTTTTTTTCAAGCAGTAGCTGAACCATGAAAATGAAGTCAAGGACAATGGACATATGACAGACAGAAACTTTGTAACATAAGGTATCTGCATACAAAGTATGAGGCATCCAAGTCTTGTACCTTCTGAAATATAAAGCTTTATACAAATAATTTACATTGACACTGGATAGTAATCCTTATATCTCACATACTGAGACAGGCGAGAAAAAAATTGCAGATTACAGTGTTGGAAATTCGAAGAAAACTTTCAAAATATGTTAATATTCCATGAGAAATAAGTAATACATGTAGTTGATGGAACGGTTTTCAATGAAACTGAAAGAAGTACAATAGGAGGTATTCACCTCCTATATTGCGATCTCGGTTCTAATTCTCATTTGATTTTGATACTGAACACATATTTATTTTTCGTTTTAATTATATTGGTAATTGAAACATTAAAATTACCGTTCTTATATGATGAAATGACAATTTAGTGCAAAAATAAGGTGACCACTGACCACCTTGACAGGTGTCGGCTGAAAAAAGTTGTTATATAGAATAAAATGCTCCGCTGGGCGCAGCTTGATATGACCGCAGAGGTCAAACCCTGAACAGTTGGGGCAAGTATGGACACAACATTCAAGCTTGATACAGCACTGAATTTGGATTGTGATTAAATATTTGACACAGCATAGGTTTCTGACACAGAATGAATGTGGTCTAAGAACTTAAAAATTTTTAATTTACCTATTCAAACCATATCATTATTGTTTGCTTTTATATATAAATCAGAAATAACCAATTCAAAATGGAAAATTTAAAAGAAAAAAAAAATGAAAAAAAAAATCCCCCCCCTCCAATTTTTTGAACCCCCTTATGACTCATCACCCCAAAACTCAATCCCAGCCTTCCCTTTGTGGTATGGTACCTTACAGTACAATTTCAGAGAGATCCATACACTTGATCACAAGTTATTGTCTGGAAACTAGAAAAATGCTTGTTTTTGGCCCCAAATTCCTAAACATTTAGGGCAATTACCCCCAAACTCAAACCCAGCTTTCCCTTTGTGACATGGAACCTTGTAGTACAATTTCATAAAGATCCATACACTTACACACAAGTTATTGTCCTGAAACTAGAAAAATGCTTGTTTTTTGCCCCTTTTTTGGCCCCTAATTCCTAAAATTTGAGGCAATTACCCCCAAAATCAATCCCAGCCTTCCCTTTGTGGTATGGTACCTTGCAGTACAATTTCAGAGAGATCCATATACTTGAACACAAGTTATTGTCTGGAAACTAGAAAAATGCTTATTTTTGGCCACTTTTTGGCCCCTTTATTCTTATTCCTAAACATTTTGGGCAATTACCCCCAAACTAAATTCCAGCCTTCCCTTTGTGATATGGAACCTTGTAGTACAATTTCAGAAAGATCCATACACTTATACACAAGTTATTGTCATGAAACTAGAAAAATGCTTGTTTAAGCCCCTAATTCCTAAAATTTTGAGGCAGTTACCCCCAAAATCAATCCCATCATTCCCTTTGTGATATGGAACCTTGTGGTACAATGTCAGAGAGATCCATACACTAACACACAAGTTATGTCTGGAAGTTACAAAAATGCTTATTTTTGGCCCCTTTTTGGCCCCTAATTCCTAAACTGTTGGTACCATAACCCCCAAAATCAATCCCAACCTTCCTTTTGTGGTATTGAACCTTATGGTAAAATTTCATAGAGATCCATTGACTTTAACTAAAGTTAGAGTACGAAAACCGATGTATCTTCTGACGACGACGCCAACGTCATACCAATATACGACCGCAAAAATTTTTTGTGGTCATATAAAACATTTTGGAGGGTCTGAAAGTGGCTATTAGAGACAGGTGACAGCTGCAATAAGGTGACCATTAACTTGTAACACAATATCTATGTACAACCCTCTTGAACAAGATCTCCAAATACCACCCGCCTGTCCTGTAAATGCATGATCAAATTTTAATATTTATACATACAGCAGCTTCTACTTGGTCTGGAGATATGGTGACACCTACTCCACATTCTGCCTCAAACTTAATTTTATCCACAGGAGGAAGTGGATGGTGGAGAAGATAATCCATAGCAGCTGTGGAAAAAATTTGCAAAAAAATATAACATACATACGCCTTTCAAGTGTAATTTCATTTATCATATATTTGTTACAAAAACATTGGGTTTTGCATATGCAATAACAGCAGATTTGCCCAGTCATATTCATTCCCGGGGCAAATAACAAGTTATTGCAACCCTGTTATGACATCATAAGCAATTATTGTGCCTTGTTTTGACATCATAAGCCTTCGGAACAACAATGACAGACGTGGAATGTGGAATTTGTTAAAGAATTAAAGAACACTAATACTAAAAGAAAATCTGACATTGACATTATAATATTCAAGGACTATAAATTTGAACTGTTGGGGAGCTTTGTAATAATGAAATTATTTCAGTGGAGGACAAAAAATTATGATCTTGCCAGACAGCATAGCACTAGCGCCTCTGGCTAATATGGGAGTCTCGGGATGATACCAGGGCTGATATGGAAAAGGGCATTTTATAATCTATAAATATACATGTATATGGTCAGTCTGCATTTTAAATTTTAATATGTTTTTTTTTATATAATATGACCAAAATTTCTAACATTATTTGTAGTTTCATGATAAAAACGTCAATTACAACAAGAAGAAATCTCTAATGCTGTGTTCACATGAAATTTGTAAATTTTTTTAATATCAGATGTATTTTTTCTTTGTTTGTCCACACTGTTTATTACAAAACAAAACAGTTTTATTCACTTCTACTTCAGCAGTATAAACCTCAACAGGTAGGAGCACCTATGATTACAAGAATTTGATTCCAAGAAAGATAACTAATATGTTTTTCTCCAGTACAGGTCTGCCTCAATCCTTACTATAGGAAATAAAGGGTTAGGAGGGCTTTTGAGTTGTGATGCAAACCTAATGACATGTCACAAGGAAATTAACAATCTCTCAGGTGTATTGTATTGTTTGTTCTCAGATCAAACATACTTAAAAGATGTTGAGCATCTCTTTTATTCATGACAATAGTAGGTATTTCAATGTTTACAATTTTATACCAATAGTTATGTTCCAGATGTGAAATAGTAACTAGTTTAATGTTTTTTTTTTAACATAACAGATTTTTTGTTTTTAATTTTTATTGCTTTGTTCAAATTTGTATTGTGATGAAAGTCAACATTTTCAACACATTGTTTATATGTATTTAAGTCCATGCAATCCAACTGTGTACATTATTTTATTTAACGCCATTTTGTCCAAGGTTATAGTTGTCTTTAAGTTTTTGACATTGTGTCATAGATCAAATTTATTCGTTCAGAGTATGTTTACTTGTTTTTGTTAATATGTCTTTTTGATTGAGTTAAGCCATTTCAATTGATATTTTATAGTGTGTCTTGCTATGTTGTAATGTTACACAACTATTTCAGGTTAGGTTGCAGGTTGGTGCTTGTTAAAAGGTTTAAACCCGCTGCATTTGTTTGCACCTGTCCTAAGTCAGGAACCTGTTTCAGTGGTTGTCGTTTATTGATGTGGTTCTTAAGAAGTTTTTCTCGTTTCTCGTTTTTTATATAGATTAGACCGTTGGTTTTCCTGTTTCATATGTTTTACACCACTCATTTTGGGGCCCTTTATAGCTTGTTGTTCGGTGTGAGCCAAGGCTCCTTGTTGAAGGCCATACTTTGACCTATAATTGTTTACTTTTTACACATTGTGACTTGGATGGAGAGTTGTCTCATTGGCACTCATACCACATCTTCTTATTTCTAATAACTACCTTGGTCCTATGCAGCCTCACGTAAATGTGATTTAAATCATTAACATTGCAGCCAAAGCACTGAGGTTACACATGGGCATACAACTTTGTTTTTTGGGTTTTTTTCAGTCCTTTTTACTTATTATAAAATGTAACCTTTCGTATAAGAAAAGAATATTTACTCATGCTAACTTGTGGTTTTGAATTTCTCCAAAAATCATTGTCATTAGAGACAACAAAAACCATTTAGTTTCAAAAAACAAAATTTTAAAAGGCATTAATAAAAAATAAAATGCTCCGCAGGGCGCAGCTTGATACGACCGCAGAGGTCGAACCCTGAACAGTTGGGGGAAGTATGGACACAACATTCAAGCTTGATACAGCTTTGGATTTGGATTGTGATTAAATATTTGACACAGCATAGGTTTCTAACACAGATTGAATGTGGTCTAAGAACTTAAAAATTTTAAATTGGACATACACCTATTATGGTCCAATATCCAAAATCTAAATACATGGTTAGATTCAGCATATCAAAGAACCCCAAGAATTCAATTTTTGATGAAATCAAACAAAGTTTAATTTTGGACCCTTTTGACCTCAATGTTGACAAAGTTGATAACGGGGCCCAAAAATCAAAAATCTAAATACATGGTTAGATTCAGCATATCAAAGAACCCAATATATTCAATTTTTGTTGAAATCAAACAAAGTTTAATTTTGGACCCCGATTTGGACCAACTTGAAAACTGGGCCCATAATCAAAAATCCAAATACATGTTTAGATTCAGCATATCAAAGAACCCTAAGAATTCAATTTATGTTAAAATCAAACTAAGTTTAATTTTGGACCCTTTGGACCTTAATGTAGACCAATTTGAAAACGGAACCAAAAATTAAGAATCTTAATACACGGTTAGATTCGGCATATCAAAGAACCCCAATAATTCAATTTTTGATGAAATCAAACAAAGTTTAATTTTGGACCCTTTTGACCTCAATGTGGACAAAGTTGATAACGGGGCCCAAAAATCAAAAATCTAAATACATGGTTAGATTCAGCATATCAAAGAACCCCATATATTCAATTTTTGTTGAAATCAAACAAAGTTTAATTTTGGACCCCAATTTGGACCAACTTGAAAACTGGGCCCATAATCAAAAATCTAAATACATGTTTAGATTCAGCATATCAAAGAACCCTAAGAATTCAATTTTTGTTAAAATCAAACTAAGTTTAATTTTGGACCCTTTGGACCTTAATGTAGACCAATTTGAAAACGGAACCAAAATTTAAGAATCTAAATACACAGTTAGATTCGGCATATCAAAGAACCCCAATAATTCAATTTTTGATGAAATCAAACAAAGTTTAATTTTGGACCCTTTGGACCTCAATGTGGACCAATTTAAAAACGGGGCCCAAAATCCAAAAACTAAATACACGGTTAGATTCAGCATATTAAAGAACCCCATGAAATCAAGAATAAAACCCCATTGAAATTGGTCAAGAAATAAGCAATTTATAGGAAGTATCTTCTTTTGCACAATCCTGTGCTATTAAATATTTCTTGCTATTGCGCAATACTGTACAATTGACAATTTCTTGCTATTGCGCAATATTGTGCTATTGGATATTTCTTGCTATTGCGCAATACTGTGCAATTGAAGATTTCTTGCTATTGCGCAATACTGTGCAATTGAAGATTTCTTGCTATTGTGCAATACTGTGCAATTGAAAATTTCTTGCTATTGCACAATACTTATTATATAATAATTTACACATCCTGTTTGGTGTGTATCTCCTACCATATCATTATTATTTGATTTTAAATATAAATCAGAAATAACCAACTTAAAATGGAAAATTTTAAAAGAAACAAAAAAGGAAAAAAAGAAAAAAAAGGAAAAAAAAATAAATCCCCCCCCCAAATTTTTTGAACCCCCATTATGATTCATCACCCCCAAACTCAATCCCAGCCTTCCCTTTGTGGTATGGTACCTTGCAGTACAATTTCAGAGAGATCCATACACTTGAACACAAGTTATTGTCTGGAAACTAGAAAAAAATGTGTTTTTTGGCCCCTTTTTGGCCCCAAATTCCTAAACGTTTAGGGCAATTACCCCCAAACTCAAACCCAGCTTTCCCTTTGTGATATGGAACCTTGTAGTACAATTTCAGAAAGATCCATACACTTACACACAAGTTATTGTCATGAAACTAGAAAAATGCTTGTTTTTTGCCCCTTTTTTGGCCCCTAATTCCTAAAATTTGGAGGCAATTACCCCCAAAATCAATCCCAGCATTCCTTAAGTGATATGGAACCTTGTGGTACAATGTCAGAGAGATCCATACACTAACACACAAGTTATGTCTGGAAGTTACAAAAATGCTTATTTTTGGCCCCTTTTTGGCCCCTAATTCCTTTACTGTTATTACCATAACCCCCAAAATCAATCCCAACCTTCCTTTAGTGGTATTGAACCTTGTGGTAAAATTTCATAAAGATCCATTCACTTAAACTAAAGTTAGAGTGCGAAAACCAATGTGTCTTCGGACGACGCCGGACGACGACGACGATGCCGGACAACGACGACGACGCCAACGTCATACCAATATACGACCACAAAAATTTTTTTGCGGTCGTATAAAAACTTAGGCCAAAACAAAAATTAGGCATGTTTTCTGTTGCATCCCCCAAACAAATTAACTTGCTGAATCCACCAAGTAGCAGGGAAATTTTGTAGTGGATATACACATTAAAATTATCTGTACAAAAGCAGAGGATTTCTTTCCATTTCTTCAATATTTGCATACCATTAAGTTGTATCTCTGTCGTTATTTTCTTTTTTGTAATATACTCCACAATCATAGCCTGGTGAATTTTAATCTGTGTCTTTAACTTTGTAGCTATATTATACAACAACTTTCCCATTTCTTTATCTATACTCTGAACTCCACATTTTCTTGCCTGAAAAATATATAACATCTTCTGAACATGCAAGCCGTTGTTATAAATTGTTACTCTTATGTACCAGAAACTTTAAAAAGTGTCAATTTATTCTCAAAAAATGTGTATTCATTTATTATTTGTTGATTGAAGAATGTATATTCATGGATATATATTGTTCTTGTGGATTTGCAAAATTCTGCATATATACAAGCCTTTAGAAAATTGATCATCCACTCAACATTTTAATTCATGGTTTACCTTTACCTACCAAATCAACAAAAAAAATGGTACCTTACGAATGATAATGAATCCACATTATCAAGACTGTTTCACAATTATAAATTTGTCCTGATGGGAAAAAGGACATTAATAATTAAGAGCGCTTTTTAAATTTCTGATATATGACAGTGTTCTGTCCCATGTCCTTTTAGCATCTTGGTAATGTGATGCTATATTGCTTGAATATGATGTTATCTAAAATGAATTGCTTTATTGATTGTGTTATGGATGTGATGCTATAATTTCTAAAACAAGATGGCATTTATTAATTCCTTTTTAACCATTTTAGCTATTTGAAAGTTGTGGGGAGAACATTGGATGAGTTGGATCTTTATTTCTCATCTTCATGAAATTTTCTAAATTTAAAACATTTAAAAATAAACATAACATTTACGTCCAAATCAGTCTACTCTCCAAAAAGAAGGATCTTGTGAAATATCTTGAGGTTCTTCTCATCTCAGTTCAAGCCAGTTGGGATTACAACTTATATTATTATTACTTTTGGATATTTTTGCAATATACATGTACATGTACACAGAAAAAAATTGGTAAATTGCCTAATTGAGTCTCAAAGTTAAAAGCAAAGTCTGCTCTTTAAGTCCAGCCAAAAATGGGCTTCTGTGTTATGACATTACAGGAAGGCATCACAACAAAAAATAAATAGAGCCTTACAAGAGTTGTGTATAAAAATATATTGCACCTCGTGTTTGCGGTATACCATCTTTTCCGCTAGTTTATTGTAACAGTTTTCTGTTTGGTAATAAATTAATAATAAGATCTATTTTGTTACATCTTGTGATCCGTTTATTTGGCAATTGCCAATGGCAGTCAGAAGGGTTTAAAAACATCAGTTGTTCGACCTGCTAGTCAAATGCGTTTTGTTAAAATATACTTATTCACTCATTGGGTCTTTTGGAAGATGTTGTTTGTGCTGTATTTAGACCCCTCTACCAAGAAATTTGTTTTGCATGCACATATATAAAAATTGCGGTTTTTATCCAATGCAATCATAGGTTTGAACGTTGTTTTCAATTTAGACTTGTTTATATTTTTTCGTTTGGGCTTGTATTATATTTGCCTTCGGGTTTATATTATCCGTTCATCCTATTTTGACTCTTTCAAAATTCAAGAGTCTATCCTAAATTGAGGTAAATTATATGGCCTTCCAAATACCGTTTTGATTCCTAACATCACTGAAGAAACATTAATTGTCGAAATCCGGATATGGTGTACAAATTTTTGCACCTCGTGTTTGCGGTATACCATCTTTTCTACAAGTTTATTGTAACAGTTTTCTGTTTGGTAATAAATTAATAATAAGATCTATTTTGTTACATCTTGTGATCCGTTTATTTGGCAATCGCCAATGGCAGTCAGCAAGGTTTAAGAACATCAGTTGTTCGACCTGCTAGTCAAATGTGTTTTGTTAAAATATACTTTTTCACTCATTTTGTCTTTTGGAAAATGTTGTTGGTGCTGTATTTAGACCCCTCTAACAAGAAATTTGTTTTGCATGCACACGTATAAAAATTGCGGTTTTTATCCAACGCAATCATAGGTTTGAACGTTGTTTTCAATTTAGACTTCTTTATATATATATATATCCCGCAATGGTGGTAAGTCATGCACTTAAGGCCATTTTTTATTTTATTTTTCTGTAGATTTAGCTTTGATTTTTTATTACTGTGTATTGTCAAGCTTGGTTATTCATTATTGTTTCTCATTCACTGAATGTACGATGTTGTTCCATACTGCAGCAGCTGACCCGGTTTGTTTACATTCAAATTCTAATGGTTCCAAAACCACGTGACACATTGAATCGTTATATCCAATCAAATTGCTCTACTGTCAATTAGGTGATTTTTTAGTACAAGGCAATTATATTATTTGTTTGTATGATATTGCTTTGAAATAGTTTGCAATAAATTGGGGGTTTATTCAATAGGAAACCTCATTATTAGCCATGAAATTTGATATGAATGGAATTTTATATGAATATTTACTTATGGTCGGAATATCGATCTCTTTATATTGAACCAATTTTTTTTAAAAAGAAAAATATATGTATATTGTTTTTTATTAACCTACTCTATATTCCTGAATAAAATTATGGCATGATTATCGTTTGTTTCCCAAAGTTTTTCTTTCATTTTGGATGGGGTTTTTTTCGCGGGAAAATCGATTAAGACGTAATTTTTTAAGGTACTTGCCATTTTGAAATTCTTAAAAATACGATTTGCTTGGCCTGTTTGGTCTGCCATTAAGATTGATGACGCTTAATGGAATGTAAACAAAGCAATGGAGGCTGGAAGAGGGGATTTCTGAAGTTCTGGAATGTTTTTAGGCATTCGGAAGTCAGGTTTGAAACGGCCATCAGAAAATTGGCATTTTTGTACAATTCTTTAGAATAACAATGAAAACATATCTTTAGAAATGTTTGTTTATTTAGAAGAGTAGAAAAAATGTATTCTGCACTAATTTTGTAGCTGGTATTAGCGTAGTGACGTCAATGCGGAGTTTTCCCGTGTGATAAGTACAATAACAAAATCCGAACGAACCAACATTATGACCAATTTTAGACTACGGTAGGATATATGAATTAGACCTATCTTTAAGACTTTATGAATACATATACATAGTGGTCAGTTAGCTGATTATAAGAATTACTGTTGAAATAACTAGTAAGAAAAAAAATACATTGCTCTGTCACCGTGCCTAATTTATTTTTGATAAAATAGAAATGTGTGTAATTTTCATCATATTGCATCATTTTTGTTTATGTTTACAGTTCAGTTATTTCGCTTATTTGTACTTTTAACAAGGGAAACCAATTTTCAATACCTGTTCGATGGCTTGTTTAAGACTGGAAGAAAGCTGTTCATTTTTAACAGTCTCCTTTGCCTTCTGTTCACTCAAACCTATGCTAACAAAAGTAGCTGTCAGATCTTCGCTTGCCATTTTCACTTTCAACGTGCTTCCGGTTGGGGCGTAAATAATAATGAAGTCGGATGTCGGATTTACGGAAAGTAAGTAAGTCGAGCTTTGGATTGGATATATTTTTGTCACATGATTACAATTGTTGTCAAAAGTTACAAAAGTCACATGTTTCAAAACTAGTTTATATTATTTAACAGCGAAGCTTTGTTTTCGGTAAGTATATTTATTAGAGTATACTGTCCTTGGTCAGATATATTATTAATTTTGAGAAAATGAATCTTTGGCGTGTGGAAAAAAACTTGCAGACCGAAAAGTGATTATCTACATTACAAGATCTTACAATGTTTTTATGCTATTAAGTACTGTCTATTTAAAAGTAGGTGAAGTTGAGATGCAGTTTTTTTTCGAAATATATCAGAGAGATGTGTATATATGTCTCTGGATATATTTTAAGCTTTAAATGCTCCGGTTTTGAAAATGTGTCAAAAAAAATTTACTATAGAGACTATACAAAAATCACAGGACTCGCTTAGTGTGCAAGAAATTTAATAGAATTACTTTTCAAATCCTGGTCGAGTTATAGATACATTTAAAGTTATATTTATTTTTATTATTGTAATTTGCTTTCAAAGTCTCATTACTCCTGTCTTTTTTTCTTCTTCATATAACTCCCAATATTTGTATGTGGTATAGATCAATATGCGGTATACTAATTTTAGTTCAATTATAAACGTTAGCGCCAAGATTTGCATGTGCGGTAATCTAATAATGTCCGTATGTTGAAAATTCTATGATGAATAATCAATGTATTTTGAATCATGTTGTTAATTTTCAATGTTATGAAGTTGTGAAACTGCATAAACACGAAAAACGTAAAAATAATTAAAACTTCTTTAATAAAAAAATAATGTATCAAATAATCGAGTTCCGTGTATTGTAACGGAGACTACAATTACATAGAATCAATTAGTGTAACAAAAATTACTGTCATCAACACCTTAATCCGCTACAGCTAAAAAAAACTAAACCATATAACTGAAGATAACCACTGAAGATATATTCGAATTGGGACAGGCACCTGGACATGTGGCGTGGTTGAACTAGTTTTGTTTTATCTCGGCACTTGAGTTTCCTCTTTTAATCTCAATCAGTGGAGTAACTGCATAAATACGAAGCTATTTTTATTTGTATCGCTTGCAATCTTTCTTAGTGAAATACATCCTATTGGACAACGTCACTGATGTTTTGTTTAAAGGTAATACGGGAACACAAACTGATCTATCAAATTGTTTAAATCTTTATTTTATTTTTATCTTATTTAAATTTTTTTAGGGGGGGAGGGGTTAATAGCGGTCAATTCGTACAGAAAATTCTACAAAACACCTTATTAATCTAAATATCACAGTGTTGAGTAAGTGCATCACGGTGAACTGATCTGAAATCATGTTATAATCACTGTTTCATGGTTTTCCAATTCATGCGCGAAACAAAATACAGCAGATGTCAGCTTTAAATCTTTCATTTCAGGTGATACAATGTTGACCATTTTATCGTTGCTAGGACCAGCTGTACACAGACAGCTTATGAAATATGGCAGTAAGTTGTTTTACTTAAGTTTAATCCATAGTTTTTGAATAAGCAAATCTACAAAAGTAACCAGGAGAAGTGAAGACGTGCATCAATTGAAAATGTCAAAATGAAACGAGATAAAGATAGTAATAAACATGAAAAAATGAAATTTAGGCAATACCAATTATCCTGGACCTGGTCTCTATCTATATGCCATGATGGATGACCTTAGCTGAATATTACAATTTACTGCATTTCCCTGCGTCATTCTCAGGGTTTAGCACTTCAGAAAATTATGTAGCGGTTTGGCTTTGCGATATCGCAAGATTTGACCCAATGTCATCACGACAAGATTTACCACTGATATGTATAGTTTATCGAGTTTTCAACACAATGATATCGTTCAATATCAGCCGCGAGCCACAATGTGTGAACCCTTTTTTCCCCGAGTAAGCCCAGTGAACGAGCAAGAAAGTATCAAACTGTGGCTCGCGGCTGGTATTTTACGATATCTATGCGAAGAAAACCCAATTATCTGTCAAGTTATCGTGCTATTTGTGGTCTTTTCTCCGTCCCTAATCCAGTTTGATAACGTCCCTTCACTCAGTGTTACTTTGCTGATAACTTCTCTATCTCAAAATGATATGCAGAAAAACTTAATCTATGCGACGTCACAATGTCTGAGAAGAAATTATTAGCAACGTCACAATGAGTATATATTTCCTCAGATAGACTTTTCTTATACCTTGCCAAAATGTAGAATTTACCATTCTTTTTTTCAAAAATGAAATAAAAAATATGGGTCACTGTGCTTTTTTTCAAGCTACAAGTCGTGCAAACTGTCAAATTTTGCATAGATTATTCACAAAAAACACTTTTTTTGTGAATAAAAAAATTCTATGCGATGTAATTTTGGAATTAATTAGGAAAAGACAGATTTAATAATATGCTTTAAAAGAAAATAAAAAGAAAAAATCATGGGTGTCACCGAACTTAATTGTTATTAAATTTCTTAAACATTCCTTTGTAAAATATTTACTACTATAGTTATCCCCCCTTAAATGGCTAATTTAAAAAATTGATTTAAACAAAAACAAATATTTGGTATTTGTTAAAACATTCTCATTAATACAATAAATTACTTAATTTATTTTTTCAAATTAACAGTCTTAACAGATTTGGTGGTGTTACATCTTACAAATCTATCGAATAAGTTTGCAAAGAATTCCGCTAAAACCGGCGCTAGAGGCCGTCTTTAACTTGCAGTGAGGTTTGTCGAAAAAGCGAGACATAGCGATCCTACATTCCGTCGGCGTCGTCGTCGTCGTCGTCGTCGTCGGCGGCGGCGTCCACAAATATTCACTCTGTGGTTAAAGTTTTTGAAATTTTAATAACTTTCTTAAACTATCCTGGATTTCTACCAAACTTGGACAGAAGCTTGTTTATGATCACAAGATAGTATCCAGAAGTAAATTTTGTAAAAAAAAATCCTGTTTTTCCGTATTTTACTTATTTCTGCCAGGAAACATTACATTCACTCTGTGGTTAAAGTTTTTGAAATTTTAATAACTTTCTTAAACTATCCTGGATTTCTACAAAACTTGTACAGAAGCTTGTTTATGATCATAAGATAGTATCCAGAAGTAAATTTTGAAAAAAAAAAATTCCTGTTTTTCCGTATTTTACTTATAAATGGACTTAGTTTTTCTGCCAGGAAACATTACATTCACTCTGTGGTTAAATTTTTTTTAAATTTTAATAACTTTCTCAAACTATCCTGGATTCCTACCAAACTTGGACAGAAGCTTGTTTATGATCATAAGATAGTATCCAGAAGTAAATTTTGTAAAAAAAAATTCCTGTTTTTTCGTATTTTACTTATAAATGGACTTAGTTTTTCTGCCAGGAAACATTTCATTCACTCTGTGGTTAATTTTTTTTAAATTTTAATTACTTTCTCAAACTATCCTGGATTCCTACCAAACTTGGACAGAAGCTTGTTTATGATCATAAGATAGTATCCAGAAGTAAATTTTGTAAAAAAAAAATCCTGTTCATCTGTATTTTACTCAAAAATGGACTTAATTTTTCTGCCAGTTAACATTACATTCACTCTGTGGTTAAAGTTTTTCAAATTTTAATAACTTTCTTAAACTATCCTGGATTTGTACCAAACATGGACAGAAGTTTGTTTATGATCAAAAGCTAGTATCTAGAAGGAAATTTTTATTGAAATTTTGTACTTGTTTATCCATATTTTACTTATAAATGGACTTAGTATTCATCCACTTAACATTACATACAGTCTGCAGTTAAATTTTCTAAAACATTTATTAGATTCATAAACTATCCTGGATTTTTACCAAACTTGGACAGAAGCTTCTTACAATAAAAAAAATTGTATCGAGAGGAATATTTTTATTTAATTTTTTCCTCATCTCATTTTTGTTGAGCCTGCGATTAACAGCCAAAGTAGGCGAGACACTGGGTTCCGTGGAACCCTACTTTTTTTTTTTTTTTTTTTACTCTATGTTGAAGGCCTCACTGTGACTTTGAGATGAAGAACAGCAACAAAATCGCTGTTCCTTTGCTTTTTGTTAGTTTTTTTGCAGTGCATGTACTGATCATGTGACATGAATGGATACCCCATATCCTTTGTTTTACATCCTCGGTGATGTAACAATCGAGGGAATGTGTACGGGATTCTGGTCATCTTTGACAGATAAAGTCCATTGGCATCGGAAGCGTCGGAAAACTTCCCCGTCAAAAAGGTTCACTGATTGGTATTTCATGTTTTTGCTGTTGTTCTAATTATGATATACATGAATACTCTAGTAAAATCTCTGACACAAAGTAAATGTTTCTTTAGCAATATCAGTAATGTTAATAACAAAAATTATTAAGTTCTTCTAATGTAAAAGGCATTAGTGACTTTAAGCATAGACTGTTTAAGAAATGACAGCTTTGTTTATGATTTCAGTATTTGACCCTAAAAGACATGAAGAGAATTATACAGATGGATATGATTTATTTGGATTTAAGCAGGATATTTCTACAACTAGTTGCCTTCCACATACTATGCAAGATACCTATACTCGTAGTAGATTGGAGAGCACATCTAGTGGAACTAATAAGGATAGATATGTATGTGATAAAAGAAGGTCTTACGGATTGGCCCTTGAATTGCAGAAAAAAAATAAAGAATATTTTATTTCTTTTAAAATTATGTTTATCTTATTGATAAAATTAAATGAAAGGGGTTACATTATCTGATCAGTTCAGCTCAGAAATGACACGTGTGGTGCCATTTTGACGTCATAAGACACATCTTTGACCAAGAATGGATAGTTTAAATAGTTTTAATAAAAGTAAAATAAGAATAACCAATAGCTTACCTACAAATATATTTTACCCATACCAACATCAATATGATTGAAAAACAGTTCCTGTAGCCACTCTTCGCTTGTCACATGATA